ATGTTTGTTTATTTTCGTGTTTTTGCACTTCTGCTAAACTCTGCCCAAGGCCTTCCTGTGCCTCGATTTCCATCAACGTAGACTTGTTTAGATACTACTTCACGTCCCAAAAATGCTCCGACAAACCGTTTACGAAACCGTCAACTCTTCGTGGAGGTACGTCTATTTGTATTTTCGTGTTTTTGCACTTCTGCTAAACTCTGCCCAAGACCTTCCTGTGCATCGATTTCCATCAACGAAGACTTGTTTGGATACTACTTTACGTCCCGAAAACGCTCCGATAAACCGTTTACGAAACCGTCAACTCTTCGTGGAGGTACGTCTATTTGTATTTTCGTGTTTTTGCACTTCTGCTAAACTCTGCCCAAGACCTTCCTGTGCATCGATTTTCATCAACGAAGACTTGTTTGGATACTACTTTACGTCCCGAAAACGCTCCGACAAACCGTTTACGAAACCGTCAACTCTTCGTGGAGGTACGTCTATTTGTATTTTCGTGTTTTTGCACTTCTGCTAAACTCTGCCCAAGACCTTCCTGTTCATCGATTTCCATCAACGAAGACTTGTTTGGATACTACTTTACGTCCCGAAAACGCTCCGATAAACCGTTTACGAAACCGTCAACTCTTCGTGGAGGTACGTCTATTTGTATTTTCGTGTTTTTGCACTTCTGCTAAACTCTGCCCAAGACCTTCCTGTGCATCGATTTCCATCAACGAAGACTTGTTTGGATACGACTTTACGTCCCGAAAACGCTCCGACAAACCGTTTACGAAACCGTCAACTCTTCGTGGAGGTACGTCTATTTGTATTTTCGTGTTTTTGCACTTCTGCTAAACTCTGCCCAAGACCTTCCTGTGCATCGATTTCCATCAACGAAGACTTGTTTGGATACGACTTTACGTCCCGAAAACGCTCCGACAAACCGTTTACGAAACCGTCAACTCTTCGTGGAGGTACGTCTATTTGTATTTTCGTGTTTTTGCACTTCTGCTAAACTCTGCCCAAGACCTTCCTGTGCATCGATTTCCATCAACGAAGACTTGTTTGGATACGACTTTACGTCCCGAAAACGCTCCGACAAACCGTTTACGAAACCGTCAACTCTTCGTGGAGGTACGTCTATTTGTATTTTCGTGTTTTTGCACTTCTGCTAAACTCTGCCCAAGACCTTCCTGTGCATCGATTTCCATCAACGAAGACTTGTTTGGATACTACTTTACGTCCCAAAAACGCTCCGACAAACCGTTTATGAAACCGTCAACTCGTCGTGGAGGTACGTCTATTTGTACTTTCATGTTTTTGCACTTCTGCTAAACTCTGCCCAAGACCTTCCTGTGCCTCAATTCCCTCAGTGTAGGCTTGTTTCGATACTACTACACATCCCAAAAATGCTCCAACAAGCCATCTACGAATCCGTCATCCCTTGTGGAGGTATTCTATTTGTACTTTCATG